ACAATGGCCCTATATTTTTGCACAGGACACATATATGACACTGGCATAAGTTTGTCTATTTCGTTTGATTTCTTAATTTAATAAGTACATACAAAAAGTTAAAAATTCACAACATTAACAGGACAGACAGTGAAGCACTTGCCATTTATGTTTTTTTTCTCCACTCCTGCTCATAACGATAATCCCACAAGGACATGTTAATGATTAATGTATTGCCATTAAAGTCTCCTACATAGTGTAACTTCTCGTGTCTGACTCTTACAGGAGGTCACTGAAGGCAGAAATAGAAATGAGCCCTCTGGTGGACGTACGCTGCTGAACGTTTCATAACAAACATCATGGCTACCCCGTTGGTCAGGATTTTCTCAAAGGTTATACAGAATATTTAGGTCATTATTATTTGCATTTGAAGAGTTTCTGCGCTCATTTGAATATCTTTTCTACGGTATAACCCTTTTTTATCATTGAATTTTGTAACCTATCTGGCTCTTGCCTACGTGACGTTTTTAGCTAACTGATGCTAATATTTGCTAAAGCTCAAACCTAAGTAGTTTCATCCCAAAATAGTTTCAACACTCAATCCTCAAACAGTGGTCAACCGTGCCCGAGATTACTGCGTAATGCTCAGTCACACTGTGTGTTCATTACTAATTATTTTCTAAGCGATGTTACATATTTCTACTGCTGTTTGTTTTTCAGTCTTTCAAACAACTCTCTCGTCCATGGGGGGCATGCCAGGCAGGATGGAGGAGCACTTCCTCCAGATCTGTCCCAGATGTGGCTTCACACCATCCCGCCGAGGTGGTCTCCTCTTTCCCTCCACTTCAGACATACACAGAGGAGGAAGGCATGATGAGGGAAGCAGGTAAGCAGGACCTCTTGTTTCATGTTGTAGTGCACAGCTGGAGACAGGGTTTCTTAAAACGCTAAATATCTGCATTGCTGTTTGACAGTGAAAAAATATGCACAGGAGCGCATCTCCCCACTTGTGTCACAAATGGATGAGAATTCGCAGATGGATAAGGAAGTGATCAAATCCCTCTTTGAACAAGGTGTACGTAACTAATTTAATCGTGAATTAACGTATATGTCATTAAAAGTACGCCAGTGTCATTTTTTTCCCTTCTAGTGACTCATTTGATTTTTGCAGCTCATGGGCATTGAGATCGACCCCGAATATGGCGGGACTGGCTCCTCGTTTTTCTCCTCTATTCTGGTCATCGAGGAGCTGGCGAAGGTGGATCCCTCTGTGGCTGTACTATGTGACATCCAGAACACTCTGATCAACACGCTGTTTGTCAAACTCGGTACCCCAGCTCAGAAAGAGAAGTACCTCAATCGACTGTCAACAGACATGGTAAGCAGCTTGATAATCTGGAAGAAATAAAAACAGTGTACATCAATTCAATGTTAATGTTGTCAGGTGCAGCTGATTAATGTTTTCTGATCATGCTTTCAAATCTGTTTAGTTTTATTTATTTATTTAGTGCTCACAGCAGCAGTTGAGTAAAGGAGTGGACATGGTCAGCAACAAGACTATTTAATTGAAGTGTTTAAATGATGCTTAATTGCTACTAAGGGGCCTAAAGGGTAATACGAAAATATCTCAGACAGTGATTTTACATTTTAATATTGCCAAGTTTATGTGAGCCCTTATAAATTGTGGTCTCAGTTTTCTGTTCTTAGTTTATACAAGAGAAACCTGGTGTGGTCTTCTGCTGCTCCAGCTCATCTGCTTCAAGAGCACTGAAAGATGCTCTTCTCCAGGACTTGGCCATAACCAATAGTGATTAATTGCCTTTTATCATGAAATAAGCATGTCCTTCACTGAATAAGACACCTTGTGTCCCTTTACTGTCACGAATTCTGGCTTTTGAGCTTGTACACTGTTGGTCTTTCTCCTCATTAGTCCAAAGATTTGCTATTTGATTCCAAAAATCATCAAAAAAAAGGAAACATTCTTTGTTTTATCATTCATCATGTAATTTGTGTTCTTTGTACTGGTTTAATCTGCTGTTAAGTCAAAGAGATTTATTTATATATATACATATATATGCCGTTCTTTTTTGGAAACCTTATATGCAATTTCTCTATATTTGTTCCTTGTTTATTTGTATTTTATATTAGTATTTTTGTATTATTTATACCAGATTGGAAGCTTCTGTCTCTCTGAAGCAGAGTCGGGAAGCGATGCTTTTGCTCTGAAGACGCGTGCTGAAAAGCACAAGGACTATTATGTAATCAATGGATCCAAGATGTGGATCAGTAATGCAGAGCATGCTGGTGTTTTCCTGGTAATGGCCAATGTGGATCTCTCTGCTGTGAGTAACTGTTGATGTTTCTATTCTCAGAGTGTGCAGTATTTCTTTTTGAGCCTAGATTTTTAAGGCCCCTCTCAACAGTTGCTTCTGAGCTTATAATCTAATAACAATATATTGATTGCGTTTTTTTCTTTATCTTGGAAATTACCAAGACATGCTGGATTTTTTTTAACAAATTCATTTAACAAAAACATCAAGTGAAACTATACTTTATAATACCCACCCTCTATAGGTTGTATTGATGCTTTGTGGTGATTAAATGCGTTCCCCTGTGACAGAAAGGTAAATATAAAGTCATCTTTGTTTGGCAGGGATACAGAGGCATCACCTGCTTCATCGTGGACCGGGACACCGAGGGGCTAGAAATCGGCAAGAAGGAGAACAAGCTTGGACTGCGGGCCTCCTCCACCTGCCCGCTCAACTTTGACAATGTCAAGGTGCGACCATACATCGTGTACGTTACCAGAGAAATGCCTGGCAAGTGCATTAGATAGATTTTTTTAAAACTCTGCTTTCTGTTCTAGGTGCCAGAGAAGAACATTTTAGGAGAGGTCGGTCATGGCTATAAGTATGCCATCGGGATGTTGAACGAGGGTAGGATTGGAATAGCAGCACAGGTAAATTAAAACACAAAATCTGCTCTGTTAAAATGTCAAATTCAGCAGGGCGGTGTTCTAACTCTGTGTGTGTTTCAGATGCTTGGATTGGCACAGGGTTGCTTTGATCACACTGTTCCTTACACCAGACAGAGGATGCAGTTTGGGAAACGTATCTTTGACTTCCAGGTCACGATCCATATTTGGACTTTGGATTTTTTACAACACCTTGTGGTGATAAGGCTTGGTTCAATAAATTCTGATGCTGCTTTTGGTGTTCCTTATATTCCAGGGGATGCAGCACCAAATTGCCCATGTAGCAACACAGATTGAAGCCGCTCGGCTGTTGACGTACAACGCTGCTCGTCTGAAAGAAGCCGGAAGAACTTTCATTAAAGAGGCCTGCATGGCTAAATACTTCAGCGCAGAGGTGAGCTTCCTGTTTTTGTGGTAGTACACTTTAGGACAGAATAAGGATATTTTTGGACCTGTTTAGGTATGTTGCCATAACGTTATTTGTGTCATGATTTCATACAACCAATGGTAGAAGAAGTAAAAGTTGTTGCTGAGACTCTCCTGAAGCCATGGCAGTTTTTAGGTTCTGTTACATCCTATCATTTCTGTGATATCTCTGCTGCTGTCTCAGCTAGTAATTATTTTTACAAGTTCAACTCAAAAAGTCTTTTTATTTTCTCTGTCTCTTTTTATAATTTACTTTCTTCAGGTTGCCACCCTTACCACGTCAAAGTGCATCGAGTGGATGGGAGGAGTAGGCTTCACTAAAGACTACCCTATTGAAAAATACTACAGAGACTGTAAAATTGGTGAGCCTAACTCGACAAACGTGCTTGGACTCTGGATCACTCTGCAAATATTGGCTTGTGTTTGTATGCTGTTAGTGAGATTGCTGCTTAAATAAGGTGTACTTAGTGTAACTGTGGCTGGAGTCCTACTGTGAAAAGAACGAAACTTGTGAGTGCTACAGGAGGGTCAGGTGTAGATGTTCGTGATTGGAGCAGAGTGGGGCGGAGAGAGAAGGCCCAATAGCAGTGGCTGTAATCGGACTCTGCTGGAATTCTCCAGTCTGACCCCTCAGAGTGCCATTATACCAGCACACAGCCAAGGAAGCTGCCATTTCAAAATGTTACTTTTCCTTTCATCACTGCCACTTTGGCTCCCGAGCTCTCTGGCTGGAGCACCGGCAGACCTAGCTCCACGCTAAGCCTCCTTGTCTCCTGCTAGTGAAAGCGGCGGATGCATGTAGTGGGCAGAGGAGTTTGACAAAATGGACTTTGTTGTGTATGGCAGGAATCTGTGCTAATGTTTTGTTTTCTCTCTTTGTGCAGGTACCATTTATGAGGGCACGACGAATATCCAGCTGTCCACTATGGCCAAGTTCATTGATAAGGAGTACAATGTTTGAAACTCTATGAGCAAAGCCTAAACGATTGTACTCTGCGATGTTACACTCCGCATTTTTCCCCCCAGTGATTATAATGGGATTGATCCAGACCATACTACTATAGATTAGTTCTCGTGCAGCAGCTCATAGTTACTGGTGTTTTGGTTACGTTTCTTCAGGTTTAGAGATAAAGCTGCTCTGGTTTAATGATGTTTATTTTGCTTTTTGTATTCAGTGAGCTTTCCATCGATTCAAATACAATGAGTAACAAACTGTATATCATTTTAAGACCTTTACAACCTTCACCCCACATTTGTTCTAGTATTATTATTAATGTAACAGTAACATAAATGATCCATACATTTGCAATGTGGGAGTTAGTTGTTGAAAGCTGATGATTAGGATTATGTTTTGGTGCCTTCGGAAGATTTGCGATTACTGAGATCAGTGATGTAAAGGTGTGTGTTCTCTCTGTATGATTCTACATCCTTTTAGGAAATCATCTGTAAAGAATGATCTGTCAGTACTATTAAATGTGAAGTATGCTGTAGTGCAGTGTATGGTTTGTATTTGCTGAGGAGTCCAGGTTAATACCAAGTTCTCTCACTAGATGGCAGCATTTTCCTGAGTGACAGCCGCTCACAGAAGCGGCAGTCAATTATTATGTCTTTTAACAGCTTGTCACCTCTAATGATATTTTATATCAATTTAATTATGCCGGTGCTTCAGATGAAAAGAGCTCGCCTTGCATAATTGACTCATTGATAATTTTGTGGGTGTGACTGATTAAATTTGCACAGGCTACATGTGCTGTGCAAAATAAGGTCTATTGTTTAAACAGCTTTTAAACTTTTAGCCAAGACTTCTTACAAATAATTATGTGGTGATATTTTTTATTACTTTTAAATAATGGAGAGGGAAAAATTAAAACAGACACGGATACTATTTGATGATTTTTATTAGTCACACCGTTTCCTGGCTGTAATACAGAAACTTAATGTTTTTGTAGCGGATAATTTTATATTAAGATTTGCTTTTGCTTCTTATTTCATGTATTTGTATAATACATTTGAAGAGTGAAAGGGACTGAAATGTATTTGCCCTCATAAAAAATTTAGGATTATGTGTGTGTTTCTAAACGATCAGTATAATTCTTGACACCACCACTGTATCTGTGACAAAAGCTTTGAATTTAAATATGAATTGAGTGTTATTTACTGCTGGGACTTTGCTGATAGGAGTTAGAATCAAACGTGCTAGGCTGCAGTGTAATTGCATACAAACACCTGTTCTTTAAACCTAAATTTCTGTCTTTTTTTAATCACATAAAGATAGAACAGAAAATCAAGCCTGCATTTACATCACTGATTGAGTGTACTTTGTTTGCCCCTCTGATCCACTCTGACTCGTGGACCCTCCCCCTTCTCTTTAATGAACATAATCTGATGAAAACACAGCTATTTGCTTTTCACTTTGCTTCGGCAAAATGCTGCTCAGCTAGCCTCTTTCTCCGCCCCCATCTTTAACACAGCTATGAGACCTCTAATTATGCAAGGATTCAAGTAGCTTTTCACAAAACACAGTGTTGTCCTCTAGAGCTGGAGAGCGCTCCACGAGCTAAAAGGACAGGCTGCATATTTGCAGGTTGAGCAAATTCAATTTGTTTGATTAGTTCTCTGCATTTGCTTCAACTTTGGTTTAAATGGTGCATCTTAAATGTTTTTAGTGTCTCTTTTTTTCTTTGCGTATGCCTATACCAAATAGACACGCAAAATGTTGATATCTCTTCCGTTTTTGGAGACATATGCTCTTAGTCTAAATAGAGATCAGAAAAGCAGTGTACTTATAAATTCATTTTCTTTCCTGGTCTTTCTTTCGTTCATCATACGCACAAATAAAATGCGACCAAACAGCTCTTATACATGTCTCTTCAGGTACACAATTGAAATTTGCTTAATTCAAGTACTAGCACTGTTGTATGTGTGACAGAAACAGGCCTATTGTCATCCTCGCGCATTAGATCACCTGCTGCCCCTGTGGGTTTGTCTGCTTTGGTACTAAGCTGATGTGAAAAGACTTTATCACGATGGTTAAACATTCAATTTGATGTCTGCCTGTAGCGCTTCCTGGCTAATAAAATTACACCGAAGTCAATGCGCTCCGGTGCAGGTGAAACGAACAGCTTTCCTGCCGAACACACGCGCGTCAGGACGCAACAGAATAGTGGCACGCCGAAATCGTGCGTCATAGTGTTCAGGGTCCGCGTTTAATGACAAAAATCATTAAATGACTAAATATTTAACAATTTTTTGAATCTTTTTGTGCGTTAAGAATAATACTTCGCCATTTTGTTATTGTATATCGTAGCTTACATTCGTGCGTAAAACCTATGCGTAATTTGTTTAATAAGGCTAAGTTGCTTGATTTCGCTGGACCATTTAATCAATGGACCATTTATTCAATTTACTGACAGGTAATTGTGGCTCGCGCACACCCCTCATAACCCTGATACATTTTCCTCTTTTATCTAATTGGTTGACAAGTGGGTGCGTACTGCTGAGCCCGAAGCCAAAACTCTCGCGCGGCCTTTTTCTTTGGAGTCCATTCTTGTCAGACCCCCACGCGGTTTCATCTCAAATCCCATTTGCTATTGTATCTGTCCAATAGCAGCGACAGAGCACGCTTTAACTCGGATGGCATTTTTATTTCATCACTACGGTCGGGAGCAAGTCTGACGCAGTGATCTCTGCGCTCTCACGCTGATCATTCTCGTGGGGGGGAAGCTGGGCACAGCTTTACGCGACTTTCTGAGTTTTCCCTCCATCTTATGCGAACTATTTTAGCTCGGACTTTAACGCCAGAGAATCCTTTAGATCTGTTTAATATCTTTTTTCAGCTTTTGATGGTGATCCCTGTCGGACAGTAAACGGTGATGGCAGACTCTGATACTCAAGAGGCTCGCCAACCTGCAAAAGACTCGCCGTTCTCCATAAAGAACCTGCTGAATATTGAAGACAAACCCACGAAGCCAAAAAGCATCCTCAGCTCGCACAAGGGGGTTTTGGAAGGCAGTTTCTTTTCTCGGCTCGGTGATTTGTCTGTTCCTCGATTTGAGCTGCCAGCACAGAGAATTGGACTATCCGCGCAATATCTGGAAAGAGCATCTACCTGGTGGTACCCCTACACGCTTGGAGCACATTTTAGGACTGGAGGTAAATTATTGTATTGCGTGTAGTGTTTTAATATTAATTCACGTTCTTCTATCGGGAAAAGCTGTGGTGTATTCAACATCGTGAATGGATACGTAAATCTTAATAAAAACGTTTTAAATACTTAAAACTCTAAATTAAACTTAATGTATCCCAACAATAAACCTATTACACAAAGGGGGGAATAGAATAGAGGTAGGATAGCTTTCACTGCAGAATTGTTTGTCGTTGAAGAATAGGTTTTAACAAAATAAAATGTTTTTCTCCAGGCTCTGAGAAGGTCAGCTTAAGAGAAGCATCACAGGCACCGGACAGGCGCTCTCCGGATCTCCAGAAAAGTGATCAAGATGCCAAAGATGAAAGCGCCGACGATGACATCGCCCTGGATGAAAGTGACTCGGAGGAGCCAAAGAAAGAAACAGACCAGGAGGACGACTGGAGGAGAAAAAACGACGAGCTGGACTCCGAGAAGAAGCCCTGTCGGAAGAAGAAGACGCGCACCGTGTTTTCCAGAAGTCAGGTCTTTCAGCTGGAGTCCACTTTCGACATTAAGCGCTACCTGAGCAGCTCAGAGAGGGCAGGCCTAGCCGCGTCCCTGCACTTAACCGAGACGCAGGTGAAAATCTGGTTCCAGAACCGGAGGAATAAGTGGAAAAGGCAGCTGGCCGCCGAGCTGGAGGCGGCCAACCTGAGCCATGCGGCGGCACAGAGGATTGTGCGGGTTCCCATACTCTACCACGAGAATGGAGCCCCAGAAACGAGCGGGGGCCCTGCTACAAACTCACCGGGCGGCCAGGCACTCCTGGCTTTCCCCCACCACATGTACTATTCTCACCCAGTCCCACTGCTGAGACCCGTTTAACATTTGTGTCATAAAGCATTGTACATATGTTTTTAAATGAGAGTGATTAACTGAAAAAAAATTGTTTTGTATATTTTTTAGATTGAACGGACACAGTTATTATTATTATTATTATTATTATTATTATTATTATTATTATTATTATTATTATTATTATTATTATTATTATTATTATTATATGTAATCATGCTTTCTTCTACTAAAGTGTCCTTGAGCAAGACAGGGTCCCTTTTACAGCTCCCACGCGTGTGGGAACAAAAGTAATGGATTTTCTGGTTTTTTTCTTTTTAATTATTATGATCCATTTTGGGTGCATATATTTGAACGTATTAAGTTGAACACGGTTGGCTGTCTATATGTAATTTACAGAGATTTGTGTCAGTGTTTGAATGTGGAATTAAATATTTTAATATTTTTCAATATTGTGCAATACTGTTGGCTTTAAATTAGGCTGCCAGCCTTTGTCTCCCATAGGCCTATAGCTCACTTGGTAATAGTCAGGACAATCATGTCATTCTTAAAAGACCCCCCCCCCCCCCCCCAACCCACACCCCCACACCACCACCAAAAAAACAACTGCAGATGATACAGGCATTTGTCTTTTTGACGCAGTGGTTGGCGTAATTTTAAAGCCATGAAAAAACCAAAAAAGCCTCTGTTTTTTGTGTGTGGTTTTCTTCTGATGTTGTTATTGAAATTCTGTATATTATATGGTCTCGCACTCAGTAAAAATTAATTCAAGCAAGAAATGTTTCCTTTTATATAGCCTTGGTGTGTGCAACACGAATGTTTATTCAAGTCATGTCGTTCTGGGTTTCAAACATTTGTGAGGGGTATGTTCTTAAGGGTTCTTAAGCTTCCTCTAATGCTGATCCGTGTTTTATTTTCGAGCCTATCGAAAATAAAACACGGATCAGCATTAGAGTGGCAACAATATTTATACCGATCACTTAGAAAATAACCAACTGCATTCTAAATAATAGGAACGTTGGATGAACCAAATGTTGGGTTTCTGTGAAGCATTTAGGCCTCAACGTCAGCTCTTTTCATCATATAATTTTTGCTTTATATAATTAAGAAAAAGTATTGCGGAAAACATGTCCTATAATTAGAAGAAGAAAACTGTCACATATCCACACAAATTAGAATGTACTAGCCTAAATTACAAAATGAATCAGAAAGATTGAGAGCCGGCCTTCTTAATTTTTCATAAAGTCATCACGTTACTATATGCTTTATTTTATTATTCTTTTTTATTATTTTCCTTATTGAATAGCGCTTGAGAGCAGCTTAAACTAAAATATACCATTACATGTGCCTCAATATGGTTGATTTATGGTGGTTAATTTATGTGGTAAATTCCTAGTCAAACTTCAAAAAGCAAAAGCAAAAAGCCAAAAACAAAAAAATGGACAACAAAAAAAGGCGCATTGTACAGGTGCCTGTTTCAAAATGTGCTCACTTTTCTCTCAGCTTTTCTGCTACCTGTTTATTTAACATATGAGCTATACAACTTCATGATTTTAGAGTAAAACCACAGATATATGCTTGCATAGATAGATAGATAGATAGATAGATAGATAGATAGATAGATAGATAGATAGATAGATAGATAGATAGATAGATAGATAGATATCAGGCCTATTCATTTCAGAAAGTAGGCTCTAGGAAGAAATACGGCGTAAGACAGAAAAGGGACCCATGTCACGTGTTCTGTATTGAGACAACGGAAATAACCATAGAAATCAGCTCAGCCAATGAAATCGCAGGCGCGAACTTGAACATTTCTTTCAACCAATCAGCGCCTTGTGGACCGTCGGTAGCGAGCTATCCTCACGCAGCCACATTGTGTTCTCGTATATTCATATATTTTTATAGTTAACTAAAAAGGTATAATAATCGCTCTTGGCAAATAAACCAACTGATCACGTCCGAACGACATCTGACTGAAGCGGTAAGTGAAGTGAAACTACTAACATTTGTGCTCGTTGCTTTTGCCCTTTCGAGCTAGCATTAGCTAACACCAGTGGCAAGAGTAGTAGTGGGCTTGGTGTAATTCCTGGATTTAACTGAACAATGAGTCCAGTCAGTGTGGAACAAAAAGTAATGCGGTTATAAAGTCACAAGTAGCGCAGTCATTCAACTGACAGAAAGGCATATAAACATGTATTTTAGTTTATATGGTTGCTAGCTACTATTTGGGGCGGGTATTCTGTCGGTGGGCTGCATTGAAAACAAGCAACAAAGCCTTTAACCAACTGCTGTTAGGCTGTGTTTGCGACCAGGGAATTTATGTAGCTTTATAATGTGTATGAAAACGCATGTTTGGTTTTCACTGAAGCCACTAATAACTTCTAAGTAATAGTAACCCTTTATAAGGGAGTCACTGAAAGACGTGGAAATTCAAAATTTCAAATCTGAAGTGTCATTGGAGCACGTTGTGTTGCAAATCACAATCAGTATAATGACTTCTCCCCATCTTAGGTAAACATGTTTCCAAAAAGTGTGTCTATAAAATAAAGTACTGGAAAAACTTAGAGATTTTAGGGAAACATTTTTATCTTGAATAATACTGGCATTTGTCACAACGATAACAGCAGTCCTGTTCTGTCACAGGCCTTATGATACTTGAAGCTTCTGTAAGGTGACATAATTTCCAATAAGACATTGTAACTAAATATTTATCATTTTCAGCAACAATTTAAGTTTTTTCGCTGCATGTGTATCCACCTGGATCTAGGGTTTATATATGGCATGGTACTTAAAAAAAAAAGTTCCAACTACACAAATGCAAAATAAAAGAGAGAACATAAATATCCAGCCATCTTTGAAGGTGCGCATTAACAGTGAAGCCTAAAATGAATCTAAAATGGTGATGCAGAAATTGTAAATGTATAACAAGGAGTAAAAAAATGGTATAACTAGTGGTGGTACCACTTATTTTCTCTTACATGTAATTCAGTCCAAAATAAATTAATCGCATATATTGAAATACTAAGTCAATTTTAGCAGTAACAAGACTCACGGTAAAAAAATACATGGATGTATGCTTATAAAATGAACTAAAAATAGCATCTGTGGTTCTATTTATAGCCTGAAAATGTCAAGTGGAATACATTTGTCACTGAATCACTTTATATTATTACACAAACTTGTGGCAAGGTTCAATATACAATTGACATCTGCTGTCCTACGTTTATAATAGTTTTTTATTTTGTTTGTTTTTCATAACACAAGTATGGCTTGCTAGATACATCCGGTGTATGTCTAAAATGGACTTGACATCCCTTGTACCAGTTTCAGGTGAACAGGTCATATGATCAAATATGTTGCTACAGTTTTTATGCCACAGACGTCTCAAATTTCTAGAAATCCTAAACAAACAAGACCTATCTCAACTTCTATCACAACTATACAACTGGAACTATATCATGCATAGCTTTGGTCAGCTACCAGTGTTCATTTCAATTTTATGATGAATTGTATGGGAGTAGATATGGGTCAAATACACAATTCCCCAATTTGTGAAAGTATATATATATATATATATATATATATATATATATATATCTCTTTGCTGACTCACTGAGAGGAATCCATGGCTCTACAATTTCAATATGAAGCATTGGGGTGCTAATTTTGGCTATTAAGTTACCAAATATAGCTCCTTGCTCAATAAAGTGTTAAAAATTTCTGTACAGACATTTCTTTCCAAATGAATGAGGAAATGAATAAAATATGTGTTTTGACAGTGTCATAGATGTTCATAGTGGAGCAGTATTTAAAACTGGGCAATTAGATCGAAATTAACAGCCCAGTTTATAATGTTTGACCTCTGTTGTGTCCTGTTGTGATTCCAGTCTAAATGTCAGTTAGGTTGCATTAAAACACCTTGCAGGGTTGATTACTATTAAAGTTTAAATCGCCTGCTCATTTTTCTCTGCTGCAGATGACAGGCTCAAACGAGTACAAGCTCAATCAGGGACCAGAGGATGGCATCTCTGCTGTCAAGTTCAGTCCCAGCACAGCCCAGTTTCTCCTGGTTTCCTCTTGGGACTGCACTGTCCGTCTCTATGACGTGGGAGGCAACACCATGCGAATGAAGTACCAGCACACGGCTCCAGTTCTGGATTGTGCATTTTATGTAGGTCACATATTTTCTGCTTAGGTTTCTTCTTGTTATGTTATAGCCTTGAAGTCTGGTGTGCTCAAATGATAAAACCTTTAACTTTCAGGATCCAACACATTCTTGGAGTGGAGGTTTAGATGCACAGTTAAAAATGCATGATTTGAACACAGACCAAGGTATGTTACTAATCTGGTAGGTGGATTAAAAACTTCCAGTAGTAAAACATATATTTTGGAATGCTTTCATCTATATTCTGCTGGTTTCTTCTCTTTAAACAGACACAATTGTTGGAACACATGATGCTGCCATTCGTTGTGTAGAGTACTGCCCAGAAGTTAATGTCATGGTAACAGGTAGCTGGGATAGATCAGTTCGACTGTGGGACCCACGAACGCCCTGCAATGCTGGCACCTTTACTCAGCCAGACAAGGTAAAGCAGTAGAGCCACCACTGAGCTTAACCATATTGTTTATAAGATTGTTATATACATGTTTTCAGATCTAAATCACTAGAATTGCTATTAAAGTTTAAAAAAGAAAACATGACATTTTTGGAGATTCATCCTTTTTCAAAGCAACAAAGTATTTTGGATTCTCAGGAGGGCATTACAAGTTTAGCAGTTGTTATTGAGAATGAGTTGATAAGACTATTAATGAAAACAGGAAAATTTTTTGATGGATTTTATTTACTTTTTATTTTGGCTTTACTCCTAATACTGGTACACAGTGATGTAGCTATTAATATATTTTCTAGAAAGCTCCCTACATTAGACATTGTAATTGTATTCATTTACTTTCCCATAGTGTAAAGTAAGTTTAATGTGTTTGCATGTGGTTAAGTAATGTTGTATGCATATGCATATACATTTCATATGATTTTTGGCACTGCTAGTGATGTTGTCATCTTGTCTCATAACTTGTCTTTGTCAAAGGTGTATACCCTCTCTGTGGCTGGAGA